AATAAACAGAATTTCGAGAAGGAATACTGTAACCTAGTTAAATTGACTCATTATCTTTGTATCCATAACTTGATGACTAATGCACTCTTAAAGGGCAAAGTTGAGGGGATTTAGCCAAAGTTTAATCCAATCTAGTTCTCAATCTTTTTTATGGCACTGGGCATGGTTGAGTCATCCACAATAGGGTTGTCGAAGTAGTGTTCTTCGCTTTGCTTGTCAATGAAAGTTACGTTTGTTTAGTTACCAATTTGTGCACCAGGTGCACAATGAATAAAATGTAGTCGGTAATAAAAGATAAACACCTTTAACGAAATCAATTAGAATGACATATATAGATCTTGGTAAACAATAAGCTACAATAATTATTATATAGATGCAATACCAAATCTCATTTTCTCCTCTAGGGAAACTACAATACTCTATTTGTCATCGAACACCAAAATATAATACTCAATTTGTCCTCAAATAATCTTTACATCTTTCTTTTTGAATGACCTAGAAATCTAGGATATATACTATTTGCACTTCCATACATAATAAAGGCTCCAGCATTAATCTACAATATCTCTTTCTTCCTACGATTAATGTGTCTGATCCTTGCATTCTTTCTGAAAAAAAAAAACAAAATTTTTTTTTTTGATAAAATGACAATTGATAATCAAATTATTTTTATCACCTGAACTTTGTGCAAAATGAGAATAAAAATCTTATTATCGATAAAAAAATAAGAGGGTACGTCCTAAGCATCAACACATGTACACGTACTTTATGTTTTCTTCACCTTACTTAAGAATTTTAATGCATATGCTTATTAGGATGAGACTAGATCAAATCAAAGTAGAAAAGTTCGAACCACATCATGTATTTTGAAGTGTGTTTGCCTATCGCTAAATAAATAGAATTTCATGATTATGAAAATTAAACATTTAAAATTACACATTAAACTTAGATATGTTCTCTTCTCCTTGTTTAAGCTATTCTGTTTCGGTGTCGTTTGATTTTTTTTGATCTGATTGTCCGATTTGACTAAATATCGACCTTAATTGAACATTAAAATGTATAAGAAAAAACATTATCAAGTAGGATCCCGTTTAGATTCATCTCAACACGTATTTTTCAAATATAAATTTCATTACTTTTACATATACGAATTAAAGATATATGACAATAAGCAAATGAAATAAAGAAGATCAGAACTGGTCTGAAAATTTCTGACCTAAAAAGGGTATCATAAGCAATTATAATAATTGGGTTCATTGACATTCCTGGTCAAGCTCATTATTTTGCTTTGATTATAATTATAGGTAGGGATAAATCCAAGCGATCTTCTGATTTCATCTGATTCTAACAAGAATATAATAATCCTTTTGTTTCAAATTAGTTGACATGTTCTTCATGTTTGCCAATGCATGAATTCAATCGAAAAATATCTTTAATCGTATTTTTGTAAAACATGCTAAATTAAATATGAATTTTAATTAAGTACACATTAAAACGGATCTAACAAGATTTCACATGACGATATTTTTTCATATCTATAATACACAAATGTTAGTCAATGTAAAGTTTATAAATAGTATCAAATGTCAAAATGTTTCAATTAATTACAGAGAAAGTAAGTAAGAAGAATAAGGTAAGGAAAACAAAGCCTTAATCTAACAACACCCTAATTTTTGTTTGAAAAATGAAACCCTAATTGACAATGTCTTTTCTTATATATTAGCATATACATACGAACAAGTTCAGTCAAGCCATGAGATAAAATTAGAATAAACATGAATAGAAAAATTCAAATCATGATAAATTAAACTTTAAAAGATTAAGACAATAGAACGCTTAATTTTAAGTATAGATGAGAACATGATCTAAGTATATACATCCTCTGTTTTAAGAAAAAGTGCAACATTTTTTCCAAAAAGATCTCATATTTTTAGTCAAAGTGTTGTAATTTATTTAAAACGGAGGAAGTATGAGTTTTGTTGACCATCACTAAGTGAGCACAATTTGATCCTTAAAGTTGTCCTACCACTTATTCAATAGCCACTTTTAATTCATGATCTACTACTTCCTGCTTTCCTGTAAGAGGGTTACATTTGTCATTTTAGATGCTCTCGTTTAAAGTTACATTTCAATTATTTTCTTAATATATTTTTTACACATTTTTCTCATACATACATACTCCCTTCACTTTAAAATGATCTTCTCATTTTCTATTTTGTGTGTTTCAAAATGATCTTTCCACTTTCTATTTTAATTCCTCACTCATCTTCACTATTTCCCATATTACCCTCATGTTAATGGTCAAATGATCGGTATGATCCCAATGTACTTTATTCCAAAATAATAAGTAATCTGAATGTACTTTATTCCAAAAAAAGGATGGTCCCATTGTATTTGAATGGTCTAAATGTACTTTATTTCAATATTCTTCCCTTACCTTAATTTATGCAGAGGATTCCAAATAAGAAGATAATTTTGAAACAGATAAAGTCCTTTCCATGCAGCTATCCCTTTTATCAAAATATTTGCATACTGCCAATGCAACTATTCCTATTTACAATAATATTTACCTACTCCCAATGCAAATATTCGTATTTTCAAAATTAATTTAATGTCTTAATACTTGATATACTACCTCCGTTTCAAGTTAGTTGCAACTCAGGGCTCGACACGGATTTTAAGACAAAATTTCATAATGATTGATTAATGAAGTAAAGAATAGTAAATTAAGGGTAGGAGAGAGAAAGTAAAGATAATTAATAAATTGATCACCACCACCAACAACAACCACACCGCAACCATCGCCTAACAGTAGCCACCACGAAACCACCCACTTCACAGCCTGAAACCACCCACACGCAGCCCAAACCACCTAGGTACCACCCACACGCAGCCCGAACAACCCTAAAACCACCAGATCTTAGCCCGAACAACCCCAAAATCACCACATCTCAGCTCGAAACCATCTCCTTCTCATGCTGACCACCTAGAAACCACCCATAAGTACTCCGAACAACCCTAAAACCACTCCCCACAGCCCGAACAACCCCAAAATCACCCCCTCTCAACCCAAACGACACTGAAACCTCCTCATCTCAACTCGAACCACACCGAAACCAACCCGTCTAAGCCGAACCATCCCAAAACCACCAACACTCGCCATAAACCACCCCAAAACAACCACCCTTACTCAGCCCAAAAACCACCCTCACTCAGCCCTAAAACCACCCTCACTCAGCCCCAAAACTACCCTTACTCACCTTGAACCACACCAAAACCACCCGAACCATCCTTAAACCACCCCATTAGCCCACTCACCACTTAAACCATCAGATCTAAAAGATTTAACCAAAAAAAAGAGAGAAGAGAGTGAGAAAGGAACAGTGGAGGAGGTTAGATGCGGCGGCGACTTTGAATATGGTGATGAGCAACAACGATGTTGATGGTGGTGGTAGATGCAGCGGCGTCGTTGACGGTGGTGGTTAGATGCGGCGACGACATTGAGAAGGTGGTGTTCGTGGGAGTTGATTCAATTGAATGATTTTTGGAATTGAATTGTTGATTTAATTTATGTTTTAGATGAGTTAAATTAGGTGAAAAATATTATGTTAATAAGTTGAATTAAGAGTTTAATAAAATCTGATTTAGGTATTTAATTGTGTTTATGAGTTCTTTAGTAAGGGTATTTTTTTACTTTCATTTAAAAAAACTTACTAAAATAAGAAAAAAAATGGAAAGTTGCAACTAATGTGTAGCACCTCGTTTTGGCAAAAGTTGCAACTAATATGTAACGGAGGTAGTATGTGACATCTAATCATTACTTTCCACTTATTTTTCTTATTAAGTGTGAAAAACCACCAACAATAACCTTCTTTCGGAAACAAAAGGAGTATAAATTTGTATGAAATTTTTCTTGAGATAGTAATTTGGTGCTAATTTGTATTTTCCCTATTCAAAACACTTATGAAGTGTTTAATTTGTAGAGTGGTATAGGGTTGAAATAAAAAATGAAAACATGATGGTTTAGATTTTGAACTAGATTCTCAATGCCATTTGTTTAGATTAATATCTAGAAATCTAGAATGATGTTGTGATCTTTAAATTGATACTTGGAAGTATTGGCATGAGTCAAACCCAACTCTCTCTAGGCAGTTTGAGGTATGAGTTTAAAATTCATAAATCATCAACCAAAGACATGATATGGGTTTAGAATTATTTTAGACCATTCTAAACCATACCTATATACATTTAATTCATGAACTAAACAACCTTCTATGCATTGACTAGGCATGACTTAGTTACACCTATTTAAATTACACCTAAAGGCACTATTTTATCTATTGATATGAGGATTTATAGTAAGGTTCAATTGAAAAAAAAAAAAAAAAAAGAAAAGAAAAAAGAAGAAGATATGATCGACATATAACCTAGGGTAACTCAACTATACAATTATAGACACACATTTGCACCTATCAAAAAGATAAAATGCTCCCGACGCTATTTAGCTAATTACACACTTAGATAACAATATGCCTTCACCAAAAAAAGAACTTGGTTATAATAGCATCAACTATAGTTGAGGTGCACAAAATAATACAACCTATTGTGGTTACACACATCATCACAAACTAATAAATTATGACCAAGAGTGCACACAATAACATACTACATTTTGTGACATATATGGTCAACTCCCTTTGATATTATTCATGTCAATCTAGGACTACATAGTAAATATGTCATTGCGTGCACCGGCTAATTTGTGCATCTTAGTTAAGTTAAGCTATCGCAACTAATTTTGTCGAAAAAACACTTCAATAAAACTGAAATGTAACCTATCTTAGAATGGAGAAGAATCTAGTTGGGGAAGATTTGTTTGATCACCATGCCCCCAATTTCAATTTCATAATTTCATGTGGTTTGAGAATGTATGTGACCTTATAATGCCTACTTATGCCTCTTGATACTATTATTTTATTCAAAAATCTTTGTTTTGTTAGGATCAATCAAACAACACCTTCCTTTCTCCAGAGAAAGGAGGGGGAAGGGGATAAAGAAGTTATGAACCCAGGACTCAGGTTATGTATGGAAATCAGTGATACTAAGATGTTTTTATGTATCAAGCAATTCAGTTATAGTCTATTTTATTCCCTTACATTGAAGCCCATTTTTTTAAAATTTAATTTCTAATGTAAATGACCATGAGTAAAAAAAAACTTCTGTGGAAAAAGAGATATACACCATTGAAACAATTTGCTCTCTTTGTTTCTTAAAATTTAAAAATTCATCCTTTTTTTGCTTATAAAAAGGAAATATAACATTATAACTGTGAGAGTTCAAAATTAGATAAGTCTAACAAGTGGGTCAAAAGAGGGTAAAAAAGGGGAGGGGGGAGGGGGGGGGGACATAATTTTGTTGACTTTAATGAATCCTTGTCTTTACCGTTTACTCACATGGCCACACACAAGAGAGAAAAGGAGAGAGTCATTAATAGATTAATAAAGAAAAGAGTAGGAGGGGGGAGCAAATTTCTCCCTTGTCCCAAATTAATTAACACAGTCAAACTTTGCTCACATATCAATGCATAAGTTTCACCTTACTTATATATAGTAAACACTAGTACAAATTAGAAGAAAAATTATATTATGAAATTTTATTTTAATATTTATTCAACAATTTATTTCATGGCAAAATATGTTTTTATTTAGTTTGTAAAAAGCTATAGTCAAAATGAACCTATGAATAATAAAAAAGTCCAGCATCTCAGTTATTCTGACAGAGTGAGTACTAGAATAAAAACTAGAAATAATGTTAAGGAATAGAGGGTGGTATAAAAACAATACTCAAAATAAATTGACTTGCAAAATTACCTTATAAACTTGTCCATTCAGTGGATCCTATTAAATGAGATAATCTCCTTAGAATATTTCAAACCCAAGATTTGTATTCTTTATACTCCATCTTTTGTTTATCAGATTTGCTTTTCACACAATTTTTAATGCAATATTATAATTAAAATATCGCAAATTATGTATAACAATAACAATATACAAAAATAATACTCGTATATTTGAAAACTAAAAATCAAGATGAATTTTAAACCGATTAAAAGGAAAGGGAGAGAAGTATATGAATATAAACATCTTATATTAACTATTACATGCATGCTTACAAATTCACCTTTCCATTTCTACTCTTTGCTTCTTATAAACATTTAACCTTGCCACACAACATAATCTTCATCGGGGAGAGATGTGAGAAAACCCAAATTGCAAATCAAGTGGAAATTTTATACATAAGTCAACAAAATTACACTGTTATGACATGTACACATATCATATAATTGATGGAGTATTTTTGTTGATTTATTTACAAACTTGTCACTTTTTTACAATACTTGTTTATCATGAAGATAATCTAGGACTTGCTTAGAGGAATAAACAGTTATATGTATACACATATTTTTGTAAAGACCCTACAAGCCTAGAAAACCTTCACATAAGGCTAGAATTTACAAAGAAAGAGAGAAAGAAGTAAAACTTAGTCTAACTAAATATTGGTTCGATAGTGACTCATGTCCTCTTAGATCCATTAACTATCCCTCCATTCTACTTAAGATTGTCCCATACCCCTTAGTTTATTTTTTATAAGTTGATTTGCATCCAAACTTGTGACATTTCTGGTTTTGTCTTTATGTGGTAGCACACGAGTTATTTAGGAGTATGAAACAATCTTAGTGGGCCAAAAGGAGTAAATACATTTGAAGTTCGCTCATTCAACAATGGATTATGACCATTTTGCATGAGCCAATCCCTTTTTGGCCTTCTTTGGTACTACAATGGTGGTAGTTAGGAATTGAAATTGGACTTGGCTAAACTAAATTGCTTGACAAAAATGTTAATAGACACTAGCTAATTACTATAATTTGGGTACAAACTAGCTAAAATAGAGTAGCTTGAATTCTTACTTGACATGACAATCTAATTATTAGACAATTAGTTTGTTATTGAAGATTCTCTTAGTTGTTCGACCATTAGTTTTTATTGTGTATGGTAGATTGGAAACACAAAGACAACAATTCATTACAGTTTCTTTGTGTATCACAATCATCCTTTAGAAGTTTACACACAATATATACCTCTTAAAAGATAAATAATTCCTAACTACTCTAGCCAACAATTTAGAGCTTTTTCCTAAACTTGAACTTGACTGTTTAGAAACCCTCTACTAGTAAGACTGGACATTACTAATAAGGCATGTTCAATCAATTTATAATCCCCAACAAATTCAAATGCCACATTTGACATTTCCTCCTAAATAGTTAGCAAAACATCACATTTGGCTTAAACGGTCTGTATTATAGGGGATTAATCTTGTTAAGAGAGTCTCATGCCATTATGGCATTATGCCAAATGGTTAGGTTTGTCCATCCCCACATCGTTTCATCACATATTTCCATCACCACTTAGGAAAGTGACAATGAAATTTTATGAAGAAAAACACATGCTCGGAGACAAAGTTCGATCACCATAATAATCATTGACATGTAATTTTCCTTACAAAATTATAACTCCTTACCAAACAGGCCTTGAGCCATTTCACAACTTAGGCGTGTCCAAAAAGGCATCTAAGCACACCTGAAAAGTTAGCAGCCATATCTGATTAGTGCATTGAGATTTTAATTTGGAAAGGCTTGCCATCATACACATATGATCACTGGTAAATGGTTTTGAGACCCACCATATATAGCTTTTAATTACCTTTACAATATCCTGAATCCCTGATTTAATTCCAACTATCCTCATTAATGCTCAAGTAATCTTTGTAGTCAGCTTTACAATGAAAAAGGAACTCAATGACTCACCCTTCTCTAGGTTACCATATGTAAGTTTTAGATGCAGCTATGAACAAGAAATGTTGTTAGCATGTCCATGGTCCAAGGATCATGCCAATAAAATCGTCGAAACTCTGCAGTTTGTCTGTACTTTAAAAATATTGTTGAATGTCAGTGTGAAGAAAGATTTTTTATCTGCTTCAATTTGATGAATAAGGTTCCTAGATGATTCAATCATGCAGAAAATATGCATATTGTAGTTTGCTGCTGTTGCATCAATAAAACAAGTCCCTACACCAAAAATAAGTGTTAAAAGTTAGTAGATACAAACATCTATGAACTAAGCTTCTAACCAGAATTGACATAAAATGTTTTCTTATATCACCATTCTGCATAGTTTCAATGTCTACCGTTAGCTTTTCAGTACTGATATTTAAAATCACATTACTTCCTATTTTTACAGTATGAAATCAGTGATTGAACGATACAAAAAGACAAAAGAGGAGCATCAACAGCTAGCAAACCCCAACTCAGAGGTCAAGGTATGATTCAGAACCTAAGCATAATAGATCTACAATATGCTCATTGATGTCATCTCCTTTTAGGGAAGGCAACTTTGTGACGCCAAAAAGAAGCAGAAAGTTACTGGTTTTGTTTGATTCATAATATATTTCTTCCGCAATATTTCATATTTACTGAGGTGCAGAATCTGTTACACACACTAATATGATCAGAAACATTAGTTAGACCAAAAGTAGATTTCTAAGTAAATAACAGTATACACAAGTGTTATCAGAATGGTAAAATCACATAATTTATTGTCTGCTAAAACCTATACTCAAGCTTCTAACATGGTTCTGTTGAACAGAATCCACAAAGCATACTAAAGTTATCAAATATCAACAGAATCATGATGGGAATGGGCCTTTTAATATGCATTAGTGGCAGATTGATGTTGATCATGATGCTAAAAATGCAAAATACAAGCTAGGCCTATCTTCTTTCAACAGGAAAACAAAAATTTTAAAGAGTAAGCATAAAAAAAAAAAATAAAAAAAAATAAAATTAAACATTCTGCTTAAAATAACACCAAATGTTCTTGCAAAGTGTCAAATCTTTCTCCTGCTACCCTCTTCATACATCATTATGAGGGTTTAGTCCCTGCCTTAGAGCCTAACTCATGTTGAAAACAAGCATGCGTTTAACATGTTACTCTGCTAATTACTCGCAGCCTAATCATAAGGTAAAAGGAAATAACACATAAATATCTGGATAATCAACCTTTTGGGTCTAATGTAGAAATAACATACCTAAATCACAAGATCTATGATCCTTGAACAGAGCTATCAGCCCGTAAGATGAAGGGCAAATTGAGGCAGTATTCATCACATACTGCGAACAAAGATGAAGCACATGAGTTAGAAGCAAAATCTGTTAGGAACTTGTACCAAGAAGAGGTATAAGCATCCATCAAATACACATTTGAAGAAATAAAACAAGCAAAGGTATAAAAGATGCATATTCTGGTAATATTGGACCTGTTGAAGATTAAAGATCTCAAATTGCTCCAATGTCAACTGTCTGGAAAACAAATCAGGTTGGAACTAATTTGTCTCAGGTGTGGTTAATGGATATAACCAGTCACCAAAACCAGAGGATAGGAAACACCAAGTGCTTTAGAGCTTCCATATATTTCATGGAACTTTCTTCAATTGCAACTTTCAACTGACAACAGAATCAAACTCAATAAAAGGACAGTAGAGTTGGTTTTTGGTGCAAGGATGAATGGGCTGTTGTGCCTCAGTTCATTCATCGGTTTCAACGTTTTGGACAATTTGTAACTCAGGCATATCCAAGTTAGTGGGGATGCTACCCTTGTATAGCAAACATTTATCACACCGAGCTGCCACATCATATTAAGGGACTGAGTAATTTACACCAAAATCACTCCTTTGTAATTATGAGCCTTCACAAGCCGTCCATCCTGATAGAATGTCCTTCCTCATCAGCCATCCTTTAAAGTCATCAATACAAAACTAAGAACTCAAATGCTATGCATTTGATTGTGTCTACGTGATTCTGGGAAGGGAAGATGGAATTGAATAGCAAAGAATTTGATGACATATGGTATTGAATTGGACAGAAAAGAAAAACACAATTTGTATCAGTATTCCAAAGTCCTGAATACAAAAAAGAATCAATATAATGAACCACTTATCCCAGTTGAAATGGAAAATTGGACTTATGGAAGGTGCTGAATATAATGACTAATGCCACGTATCTAAAAGTCTAATGCATCTATTTACCTCTATATGATCTCCTGAATTCTCTTATAAAGAGAGTGCAGTAAAGTTTCGATTCCCTATCAATGCAATGGGAAAAAGGAGAAACTAAAGAGTTTCTAGTTCTCGCAATGGCTCTCATGAAGTGAGGTCCTCTGATTAAATAAGAAAATAACTCCAAAGATGGACAGGTATCCAACATCAAAATATCACATGCATATCATTAGGTTTGATATTCTTCAATAAGGATGGCCTTTAACTCATCTCATCAAAATTGCAGATGTGAAAGGTGATCAAGGCTTCTCAAAAGTACTGAGAGCAAATCTTCTGACCTGGATAATGCATGCATCAAAGAAATTCCATTAAAAGTTAGTTCGTTTCTCTTGATAGGTACAAAAAGAAGACTGTTGAAGTTCAGGCACAAGACCAGAGAAACTTATACGTATGCAGGAAAAACATAGAACCTCATTGATTTTGTCTAATGTCAAGTGGGAGCATAAGGATGAAGTGTTTTGGTTTAGTCTTCATGGACATTCATGTTTGCAAAACATGGTGAGGATAGCTTATATCCAGAAATCATCAACACAATATTCAAGAAGCAAACAGCACAACCAAGTTTTGCAATGCAAAAGGAGGTGTGGAAGTTCATGAGAACACAAACCTAGAGTACAGGTATGCTATGAGCTTCAATGAATGTTAAACATCAATATTAAAAACTCATCAGAGGAGTAGAATTTAGAGTCTCCCGATCTACTGCTAGTCTGTGTTGATTGGAAAAAACAACAAATAGTATCAAATGATGGAGAATTTTTTTAAAACATCAGCACCACCGCTCAGGTCAAATACAGCAAACTTTTACAAAAACCTCAGACAAGGTAAGTATAGGACAATTGCACAAGGAGAGACAAATCCAATTCTATACGCAAATACCAAAATCTTATCCAATACACCCATTCCACCATCGATTCGCAAACCTTCAGAAAATTATGTTTCTTTCATTGTTATGAATGGATGAACCCCAGTTAGAGAATAACGGTTCCTCTCTACACTGAAAGAACCACTAAAAGAACCACTAAAATAACCCAGAGGAATAAACGATCAAACATATACACTTGTAAATCATGCCAACTATCTTGGGTATCAGTTTATCACTGGAGACACATAACAACCCATGCCTCTGCACTTGCAAGTTCCTCAGAGCTGCAATTTCAGATGGCAACTGGCGTCTGAATTGCTCCTGTAGAATTGTGCAGTGCTTCCTTTCCCTTTAAAAATCATTCAAGGTATTGCTAGGAGGTGGGGAGAATTTTGAGGTTGGACATATGTCCATGAAAACTAAAATGCAACCCACTTCCATAAGCAAGGAGAAAGAATGTGGGTTTTGATATCCAATGAACCTTAGTCACAAAATGCTTTGGGGTCGGCTAACATGAATCATCTTAAGGAACCGTACAATATAAAAAGGGACACAACAAGATAATTAGTTGAAAGAGTTTGAAAAAAGGTGAGTAAAATGAGAAAAAAGAGCATTCAAGAAAAATAAAGGGAGTTTTAAAAGAGAACAAAAATAAAATTCAAGAAAGTTTTAAAGAGGCGGTTAAAACGTTAAGAGTGAAAAACATAAAGATTTGAGAAAACTTTAAAAAAGGAAATCATTACAGTTCATAAAACACTAATGGGATAAAATAAAAGCATTTCCCCTTTAAATAAATCAAAATAGGCAATTACAGGGTTTTAATTTCTTAACGCTAATTTCCTATTCTTGATTCCAAACCCTAATGGTGAACCAAATCACTCTTCTCCCTCTTATGCCTTGTTAGGACAAGTATAATATAGATATGTATTTGTTCAAGTTCTGTAGAAAGAAAACAGGAGTGGCAAAGTAGTCATTTAAGAGAAAATCTTCTAGGTAAGTAGAATCTCCATCTCTCCCCTTGTATGCCATCATGAAAATAATTTCTTTCCACGAATCCAGAAAATGTACATCAATGGTCACATGATTCCATTCAATGTCGAACATGCTTTCTTTAGGGATCATATACCTCCTCGCAATCACACCACCTTTAACATCCCCACCTCCTCGCCAATTTAGACATTCATGACTTTTTCATCTAACCACCTCCAACAAAGCTTAGCAAAGGAGTCCTCTTCTTCCTCAACAACCAACCAAGTCCTTCTCCTCTTCCCTACCCTTAAATCCTTAATCCCTACACTCTAAGCCTTATTCCCTACTACCTTGGAAGCTTGATTTCATATACATTTGACGATGATTGCTTATTGGCTATCTACCAAGTCCTCCTCTTCCTTAACCTTAACTCCTACACTCTCAGCCTCATTCCTTAACCCTTTGAAGCTTAAGTTCATATACATTTAACGACGACCGCTTATGATCCTATTCTCTCTTATTCTCCATCATCATACCTCCTTATGAAGTGGTATATATATCTTTTAACCTAAGATCTTAGGGGCTACCTCTTGTTATCATTGGCAATATAAAATAGGAAGAGCTTGACTAAGGAACTATCTATCAAGGATAAAATAATAAAGAGAGAAAGAGAGTGGCAAATGAAGGCAATTTTAGTTTCCTCCTTCCCTATCTTAAATAAAAACAAGCAACAACTCAAGAGTTAAATGTCCATCGAGCCAAAATGTTAATTTGTTTCTAGAGTAAAACATCCATGATAAATAATGACTTTTTTTTGTGAGGCTAGAGGGAAAATCCATAACACCAAAATGTTGAATCCAAAAGGTTAACTAAATTGGGTAGACATCAAACGATTAAAGCCAATCATAGATAAGTCATCGTATAAGAGGTAAATCTTTAATTGTAAGGACACATTTACAAGCAACTATATGAGTGATATAAACAACATATCATGTCAAATATAGATGTGCTACCATAGATACCTAAGCTATTAACATTCTTCACAAGTATGTAGCTTGAACTAGAAGATCATAAGCTTCTAAAACAATAACAAAGCCTTAGTCCCAAGAAGATCATATGCTTTTGGCAAACAAAAATACAAGGCCTAGTTCCTTAATACAATATACCTTCTTAATCCCAATAATATATTTTGTAAAAGACATATCAAAAGTGCAATAAATACATATGTCGACGCTTTAAACACCATTAGAATAATTTTCCTTTTATTATCACAATAATTACCTCCCAAATCTCCATTAATTCAATGTATATGCTATTCACCATCACAAACAATCACCACTAACTTATATTACTCTAGGTTAAGGTCATCAATCAACTTTACTATTGATTATACAAGTTGTTAGTCGTGGCGCAAGGTTTTGTTGTGTTATACATTACCGCTTTTACCCTCAACGTGCACGTGTATTATTCTAACATCTACCATTACATTGTAGTTTTGGCAAAGAGAAGCAGCTATGCTACGACAACAATTAGAGAGTTTGCAAGAAAATCATCGGTACTATCTTCAACTTCTATACCAATCTACGTATATGTCAACTCTTAGCAAAAAAATTTTCTCATATATAGCCATAGATGATTTATTATATATCTCTTTGAGAATGACCAGCACAAATTCAAACAAAATTTGACATTAACAAAGTTAGACAAAAATTATACCTTGCCCTTATGTGTTTAGATTATTCTAAAACTGAAATGACATGTCAAAATTTGAATGCTAACAACGTTGGCAATGAAACAATATCCAGAGTTAATCCTGCTAAGTTTAAAATTCCCAATACAGATTAAAGAGAGAGAAGGAAAAATAGTTATTAAAAAAAAAATAATAAAAAAATAAAAAAAACATATGATTTCATGCATATATAAAGGTAAAATTGGCCACTAATAAGTATGTACAACCACCATTTTTTACCCATATGATTGTGTGATGGCTTTAGAGTGGCATTTTTCAAACAATAATGAAAACTTCAAGTCTAAAAGTAAATGTTGGGTGCACTCTTGGAATATTGGACTACTAAAGGCATGTCCTTAGTGTTGGTGGAACATAAAAAGGGCAATATCCAATATAACATTATTTCAAGAGACTAGGTAGGCAAAAGACAACACAAAGGGTTTAATGGGTATCAAATTTGGTGTAAATGAAAAACAAGAAATAAAAATGTCCATCTTGAATAATAAGGAGCTTTGATAACATGTTAAGGAGCTGGAAAAACTACTGAGAAGATCCATTTTACCAATCCTTAAAAGATGAAGAATAAACCAGCTATAGGGTTGAAAGACTAAGTCAAGAATAGTGTTTGGAAGAGTTAGATGATCTTATTTAACCAAAGAAATTCCTCATATCGAGAAAGCTTTCAAAAGAGACTTTTATGGGCATGAATAAACAAGAGTGAACGGATATGCTAGCATGAATACAAGCTACCTTATAAGAAGGTATCATCAAATGTACGCGATCCAATTGTTGGACATATAGAGTATGTGGAATTATCTTTCACATCCAAGGTACCAAATATTAAATCGTAGGATATCAAATATGTTGTGATACATTGACATAAAGTGGCATCATTCTTATACCAAAGATTGTCATTATAGAAGGCTTCTAAATTCCAAACAAAATTACGTTTTTAATTACCACTTTGAAAATTAAATTTCAATTATCAATCTGGTTACAGTAATTGGGAATCGAAGTATGTTTTTAATTACCACTTTGAAAATTAAATTTCAATTATTAATCTGGTTACACTAATTGGGAATCGAAGAACATCATGTTGGTTAAGAATCCCACCAATTACTTACCCTACATAAAACAGTAGGATTGGATAATTGCCTCCAAAAAAAAAAGGAGTTAATTGCCTTTATGAAAACTAACCAATAATTTCATTTGCCATCCTTGGCAGCTTCAATTTTTGTAAAAATAAAATAAATAAATAAATAAATAAATCTTGTTTTTATTTTTTATAAAGGATTATATTGACATTTGAAAAAAAAGAATTACCAACAAAGAGGACAAGTTGTCCACCAAACATGGACAATCTTGCTTTTCAAAACTAATCTAAGACTACAAGTAATAAGAACTCACAATCGTACAAACATGGTTTGGAAGCATCATTTTTTTGCAAAAACTTATTGTTAGTTATTTCAGTGTACATGTAGGTCTTAATACATTCTAGTAATTTCATTGCTAAGGTGTGGTATATTTTTATTTTGTGCTTAAGAACCTAGAAGGTTCTCTCTTCTAGTGCTAATCTCTTCTACTATGTATATTGGCTTTTGTCCATGTTTAAAAAGCTTTTAGTAAAATATCAAGGTTTAAGAAACATCATGCAAGTAATGGATTATTATAGTGCCATGCTTTTCAAGGACCAGGTAATAATTAATTTTCTTTGGAGGAGGGATGTCTCTATTGACTATGCTAAGACCTGCATTTGATACTGTTCACGGAGTCTATCTTAAAGATCTCCAGCATGAATAGACAGCTGTAATTCAAATACCTCATACTTATAGAGCTTTTCCTTCATAGAAAAATGTATCTAAATTAAAAAGCTTTAGAATCTCGTATTTTTATACCATCAAAAACAGACGGAGGGGTCTCTTTATACCTTCAAATGCATGCTTGCCCTGACACATCAATGATAAAGGTCAGTTGGAAAGGGCAGGAATGCACAAAGTGCTATATAAGACATAACAGTTAGTCTGCAAGAAGCAAACACAGACATTTCAGCAACTTAACACCATTTTAATTTGAGGATAAAACAGAAGGGAAAAATTGGTGACAACAATGCCATAGCTCAATAAAGCAACTTTTTTCCAACTCTATGATTGTAGACGAAACAAGGTCTTGCAGTCAAATAATGCAATAAAAGTATTTCCATCACGATATGTCTAAGCATTGTCAATTCAATTCCGAAATCCTTAAGATGCAACATATTGATCCAAGTAACAATTAGTTCTAACACATAATTTCCAACCTGTAAAAACACACACACACACACAAGTACTACAAAGGCTGGCATCAACTATTCCCCAATATTTTTTATATATCTAATAATCCACACAGCCTCATTAAAGTTACTGAGCAATATGACCTAAGCACACAATCGAAGGATTTTTTTTTTTTTTTCAAGACTTCCTTTCCACTTGTGCATATCAGGTGTAGGTGAATAATTGTTGAATTAATATAGTAGGCAGCCACATCCTTCACCTGGTTGCAATTTCCACTATAATTTTACATATAAACTGAATTTGTCATAGAAAATGTAGCATTATAGCATATATTCTCAGATAGCAGGTAACTTTCTCCAAAAATAAGTCAGACAATCAGATGACTATGTTATGAAAGGTACTATCCTAAATGTTCAAAATTATTCTGCAGAATCAATACAAAACATTTATGTATGAAATTATTGTTGGTTGTAACACTATGTATCAATTTGTCATCTAGTACAATCACAGCGAATTAAAAAGAGAATATAGGAGTTCCTGACGCAAGCAACTCAACTTACCATAGGCTCATAGCATGACTAGCTTTAGCCATAACATGACATGACTGAAAAGTCAAATAAAAGCGAAAATCGAAGTTTTTTTTTTTACTCTCTCCATTCCTATATAAAAGCCCATTCTCCCAAAATTCTTCACTCTAGCGTAGGATCCATCAGCAAACTCCACTGTAATACTCTCACTTCTTCTAAAAATAATAAGCTATGTACACTATTTTTAGTATGCAACTTTCATCAACAAATTTTAAACATTACTACTAAAAACTCGTGCCCAAAAGAACGGGGCTTTTTTATAGGGATAAATAATATTTTATAAAAAAAAATAAAAAAAAAATTAAAAAAAAAAATAAAAAAAAAACTTGATTATACCAAGTAAACCTAAGAAACAAACATTGTTTTACATTATCTAGTTTTGTTTGAATTTGCAGAAAAATGATGGGTGAAGAACTCTCTGGTTTAAGTGTTAAGGACTTGCAGAATTTGGAGAGCCAATTGGAGATGAGTCTTCGAGGGGTCCGTACCAAAAAGGTAAGAAATAATGCTCTAGTGCAAAAACTAATTCTGATCCACATTGGCTTGTTTTGCTGACACAAACATAACTTTTGTAGGATGAACTTCTACTTGGTGAAATACAAGAGCTAAATCGAACGGTAGGTTCATGCACTTCCTAGCTTTCTTCTCCTCATTTTCATGTCACTAGCTTTCTTGCCAATTAGCTGATCAATATACCATCACAGGGTAATCTCATTCAACAAGAAAATCTAGAACTACACAAGAAGGTAGATCTGATTCGTCAAGAAAACTTGGAGCTTCAAAAGAAGGTAATTGGGTAATCAATTGGTTTAACATATATTTCTAGGATCAATGCTTTATTTTTGGGGTCTTTGAGCCAAAATTAAAAGTATCTTAGCAGCAAAAACATGTTTCTTATCTCAGCTCTACGGATCAAGGGAAGTAAATGGTACAAACAAAAGTTCTTTTCGCACAAATGGAAATAGTCTGAACATGGAAGAAGATTCAAATGAGCCTATTTGCCTACAGCTTTGCCAACCACAGCAACAAGATGGTGAAAGAGCAGCAAGAGCATCAAAATTTAGGCAAGAACCTTGCAGCTAAGCCTCTTTTTCACGCAAACTATCAGGAAAAATAACATAACATCATCCCTAATTTTTTTTTTTTTTTTTTTTTTTTTTACTGCAGCAGACTAGAACTTGCCTAGCAAAGAAGACCAGTCTGCCAGGTTGACACACTTTGTCAACATAGTTTCCCAAGTCCATGCAGTTTGTTTCAAAAGTCGAATGCAAATCAAAGATTAATCAAGAAACAAGTTCAAGATAATCAATAGAACAACCTTTAACATTGTTCACAGTGATTAAGAAATTAGCTAGCAATGCCAAACCTGGATGAAATGTAATAAAGATGCAAATGTCCTGTTTAAGGGCAAAGTGTATTAGCACCTATCCATTATCTTTCACATTTTAATTTGAAAATTTGTCCTCGTTCAGCACCATTGTCGAAATTTTGGGAAAAGTTAGGGACTGCCACTTTGCAAAAACTGATGTCTGACTAAACATGTCCCATGGTTTTAGGACTGTAATAGTAATTGTAACTAGTATACGACAGAAAATCTTAAACACTAACAAAAGGTATGTAGAGAGTGAGGAAATTAGTATAGGATAATTGGATTTCCATATATTTTCAGTTGAAAGAGTCTATCCTTTACAGCATCCAGGTTCTAGTGCTAAAAGTCGGTGCTTATATAATTGTACAGATGTGTTTGAATACTTGGCTATTGAAAGATGTAGAATACATAATAATCAACACTGAGCTTACGCCATGCTTCTCCACACTTAAAATCCAAAGGAACATTATGTTTATACTTGAGTAGGACTTGCATAATCATGTTAAGATTAAAAAAATCAATGGGGTGCACTTCTAAAAATCGAGTAAATAATGCAAATGAAATATGAAAGTTGTTAGCTGTGTATCAGGTTCTATATTATCATATTACACAATACTAACCCATGAGTGGTTACCAAAACAGCATGGGAATTCCAATGTTTGATCACTAAGCCCAATAGAAAATTAAAAACTAGGCATAGTAGTCTAGTACCATAAGGATGACTGATTCAAAAACTGTATAGCTTCTGACAGACCAACTAACAGATGTCCACTTTAAAAATTATCGTCAAAGACCAAAAAAATAAAAATAGCCTTGCTTAAGGATGGATGCTTCAACCATGCACAAAATAATGTACAAAAGTTGCATATGCGTTAAACAAATGTTGTAATGCACAATACTCAACACAATTACCACAACATATACAAATTCTGAAAAAATTCTGACTTCAGTAATTGTGGCCAATTGAAGTTTTTACAGAAAAGGTCCATTAAAAAAAAAAGTGTTCAAAAGACTGATAATGGTTTAAAGTTTTTTAAGTAATGGTACTGATGTGTGCAATTTATGTATGGTTTTAACCCCTGCCCCTTGGCATTATTTGAGACTAACTCATCAGAGCTATTTAAAGAATTTGAAGACTTTCTATGTGGGCCAAATCAAGTGCCCGGTCCACATGGGCAGATTCTCACGAAGATGATTTGTAGTCTACATAGGAAATTTCTATCTTTCAGCTATAAATACTTGATGTAAAGCCCGAATTTGGCTTATGCTATTTGTTATAATTCTCCAACATACTTTACCTAGGTTTTCTCTTAAAAATTCTTAGTTAATTCTTAGTTTTCCATTAGCACTCTCGAGTGGGATTTCAACATAATTTCATAAGTATGTTTCTTATTGTTCTTCTCCATTCCTTATTGCTATCATCAACTTTTACAATTATGTCTTCAATATCTGTTATTGTTGGCGAGACTTCAAATATGAGAGAGTATTTTCATACTAGGGTTTAGGGATCTTCTAATGATCTGTGATGGAAATTATTGATTAAACTAATAAATTGTTTAGTTTTGATTTCTCTTATTGTTGATTTTAATTGCTCTTTTGAAAGAATTATGGCTGATTTTAATTAAATTGTCTAGTAAACCAATATCACAACAATAGGTACAGTAAATCCAGTGAAAGCGAGAGCTCCCCTAGGCTTTTATACATCAATTTAAACCTTCATTATTATTTCACAGTAGTTTTATAGACATTCAAGATTTTTTTTTCATAATTCATAGTTTATTTTATCATAGTTGCAAGATAACCATCTCTCGTGGATATGATCCTTAATTTCCTATCTAATTCAGTGCAAAAAATACTCTAAGTTGGGAGTGATGACAAGGATTATGGCTTTATTATTAGGTATTTAACAAGAATGATAGTAATTAGTCTGCAAGTAATTTTGCAAAGTATAAGCATTATAATGAGTGGTAATGAAAGTTTATGAATTACACATGATAGGAAATAGAAGTTTCATCACCAGCCTACCAAGGACTCATGGAAGACATGTCTACTGGCACAATGGAAGGAGACTTTTCTAGAACTGATAAGTATTACCACTACTATTGCATCGAAAAAAGCATTTTCTAAGCTTTCAATGTCCAATAAGTTCATACATTATTACTTGCTATATTGAGTAATTAGGCCTCTTGCATCTTACAGGTTCTAACTCCTACTTTGTAAATAACGATTCATTGTAATACCTATCATTTTTGTAATTCGGACACACATCCATTCCGTACCCATTTAATACTAAAATTAAACTGCTAAACCATTACTCAAACGGCTAATGATTACTAGTTACCACAAAAGAACATTTGACAATTTACAACAACACAACTAATTTTGCAACACAATCTTTAAAATTCATAAATATATATAATAATACGACCCAGGGTGAACTTAGGTTTGTCTTACCATCTCTCTTCTTTTTTTTAACTTTCATCCAATTTCTTTTTTCCATAAAACTTGGTTGATCTATCAGACAATCACCAATTCGCTTGAACCTTTAATTGAATTCCAAAAATCGAAGGTAACTCAATCTTTTAGCTCCATCCTCAATGTGATTAAAAGAAATCAAGCTAGAGGAAATATAGAAACCCCACATTTGGTAAATGGAAAGCCTTTACCTTCTATTCATGATATAATGAGAACCATACTCCTTATAAGGAATAATACTTGAGGCTAACTCGTTACAAACATTATACTTGAGAACTACAATCCTAAGCTATTTGGAAGAATTAGTCATATATCAAGACATTTCTTCTCAATACGCGCGCGCGCACACACACCACAAGTCTCCTTTTTGGCATTTTATTTGTAAACTACAAGGCAAACTTAAAATTTATACATTCAGCATTCCTTCTAGAAACAAAATTACTAAACCGCTAAAAGAAACATCCTCACAAAGATCTTGTTTGATATTTGTACATTTCATCTCAAAAACATGTCGAGTCCAATTATCCTCACGAAGATCTTGTTTGATATTTGTACATTTCATCTCACGAAAATGTTTGATGAACGAGTTCTTGTTTGACAATTTGGTATGATTTTGACTGTATGAGTGTCTCCTACCTTTGTTACCTCGTTAAACCTTTTTACTTTAGATATGTAAACACCACCACCTTTTATAGCAAATGAATTATCCTAATAGTACAATTACGTGAAACATCTTTAATTTCCTTATGATAGCTTAAAATTGTTCAATATAATGGGCTAATGTTCTAACCAAACCAAACATTAAACCTAAGAAACTAGTAGCTAGACTCAAAAACAAAAAAAGGTTCACCCATACTAAAATCAATAAAGAATGAAAGCAAAAGGCCACTTCCTTTTAAATAAAAACTAAACATCATACAAGGAAAGTTGCAAAATTCCGCAATATTGGAAATATAATATTACCAACTTCTAAAACTATCTATATTTGTTCTTTTAAGCATAACAAGAAATTAATAACACACAGAAAATCAAATCAAATCAACTGCTCTACAAGTATATCAGAAGGTATAGTACACTGATTATTTAAAATTTATCCAAAAAGTTACTGACTATAAGAAATGAAATTATTTTATGTGTACTTCAATGCAATTTTTTTCAAAAAAAAAGCACCATTTCATTATCACTGACAATAGCTTAATGATACCATCACATAGAGATAATGAAACTTTACATATGATCGAGGCAGAATATCAATACACCCTTTCAAAACATGAAATGAAAGCCAAAAACAACACAAGCAAGCACAATCTAGAAATAATTCCAGAAACACTATTGGACTAACACTTCATAGAACAAAGCAAAAGTAGCAAGTTGCAATATTTTTATGGCAAATAAACCATCAAGTACAAGTGAAAACTGTACACAAATAAATTACTCTTAGCAAATGCTGCATTTACCTCAGTGCCAACTTGCAAAAGGAATTTTGTCACAGAAAACTAGCGTGTTATTGATCAGAATTTCGCAGTAGTTCACTGTATTAACAACATAATTAAATTAGAAAATAAAATCAAGCAAATTTCTTGCTGATCTCAAATAAAATAATATTTGATCATTGCAATTTTTATGACTGAAAGCAAAATCATATTATGAAAATACAAAGATTCTTGTACCTCAAAAGTGCCTTTGACATTCTGTTAACAATCTTGATTTAAATTACAATAAGGATTTTTCAACTGTTTCCTGCATAAATTGGATCAAATTTCACATCAAATGAAATTGAAAAAATTAGGGCAAAATATATATAGTTCTTTATTCAACAAAATTATTCCTATCATACAAACATAATCATATGATTACACGATCATTAGGAAATAAGAATCATTTTCGTTCATAAAAACCGTTTCATTAAACATTTGATTGAGAAACTTAGCTGAAAACACCAAATTTAGCTGAGAAAAAAAATATATAAAAAACAAAATGTCGTCTCAAAAAATCATAATCCGTAGTAAATTTTATGAAAATAAAACCACCTAAATCATAATTTTTCACAGATTACATTGTTAATAACAACATAATTGAACAATTCGAGCGCCGATAAAATCAAAATTTAAGAAATCAAACATATAATAAGAGCTTTAAACAAAAAAAAACGGAAAATATACAAAGGTCATGATTGTAGTTAGATAAATAACAATTCTACGCAAAAATAATTAAGAAAAATATAGGCTAAAGCAAATTATACAAGTAAATTGAAAGAGTAAGAATATGAAAATGAAACTTATATATATATAGTATATCATAAATTCACAATACCATGGATGTGAGAGATGAAGATGCTTGGAAAAACGAGTGGTAGTGGAGAATTTGAACACGGCAAAAGAGGAGAGAGAAAAAGGAGAGTAGAAGAAATGAGAAGGTTGATGAATTGAGAAAAATGGCGGATTTGCCTCCAGCTAGGAGACATTGAATATCCTGCCGACTTCAGAGAGAGAAAGAGAGAGGAGAAATGAGACAATATCTGGTCATGGCTTTATATAGTGTGTGTGAGGTGAGAAATATCTTTAAATTTACGTGATTCGGTGGTCTCGGAGTGGGTGATGTATAGGATACGGACATCCAACTGTCGTGTCCGTGTCAAATACCGTGTCAGACACCGATATTTGTGGGACACACGACGATACGTCTTGGCCGTATCCTATCATAATATGGACTGTTCAACTTTTTTAATGAGAAAATTTAAGTATAGTAAGATAAATAAGGTAATTGTTAAATAATATGGGTGCTTTCATATATAAACTCATTGTTAATATGATACAATATGACCTAATGAAAGGACGGAATGATAAATATATGGTCAAATTTTTTAAAAATATAATATATTTCATCTGTTTCACAAATAATGCAACAAAGATGAAATTACGCATTTCAAAGCACACTTTATATGTTAAATATCTATAATTATATAAGAGTAAAAAGTATTAAAAGTTGATATTATGAAAGTATTTTACGAGACGAATTTAACAAGACCCCACATGACTATATTTTACTTTACATATAAATCATAATTAGTGGACAAACAAGCATGGTGAATAGTGCAAAAATCCAATTGTTGCAATATTACTAGAACGGAGGAAGTATGAATTTTAACATCCCGTACCCGTGTCCCTTATTTTGAGATAGACGTTTTCCCGTATCCGTTTCGTACTCGTATTTGTATCAGTACCCGTTCTTGTGCAACATAAGGCCCGACCTCTTTCGGACTTCTCTACATCAGTTCAAGTTGTTTTTATTTCAATTTGGTGCATATTGTTTTAGTTTAATTCAGTAAATTTCAATCCAAAAGAACATAGCCAAAATTAGGGGCGGGAGTTGGTTTTTTCAATATAGGTTTGAAACTAAAAATAAGATTTTATCTAGTTTGATCTAAAAATTTATAGTCCAGTCTAATTTGATTTGATTTGATTTCTTCAAAGTTAAGAAGTAATAAGAACAAATAAAAGAATATTTCAAAAAAAAAATAAAAAAAAATAACAAAATTGTATTCTTGTCATGAGTATTTATAGACAAGTTGAATCAACTTGATTTAAGTAGGGTTTTTTTTTTTTTTTTGTTTATATATATATATATATATATATATATTATATATATTATATATATATATATATATATATATATATATATATATATAAGAAAAGATAGTAGCCTGTATTATTAAATCAAATCCAATTCCACCAAAGTTGTGAAGCTTTGGGGAAAGGAACCCAAAATTACATGTTCTACATTACTACCGATGTCCTATCTTGCGGCAAGATGGGCAACGATATTACATTTGCGCTTGATATGGGTAAAATTACAGGCAACAAAAGACAGACTATCTTTAATAATATCATCAAAAATAATATTAATAGGAGCTCTTCCACCATCATTCATACGAACAGCATGAATAACATTAATAGCATCCGACTCCAACCACACACGAGGAAAACCTAATCTTTGAGCAAGTAGGAGGGCATAACGCATAGCCAACGCTTTAGCACACTTTGGGGAATTTGCGTGAGATCTTTTGGCAGCCACGACAAGGAGGGAATCATTCTCATCCCTTATAACCACACCTAAACCTATTGTACACCCACCAGGAAAATGGACATTTGTGTTGATCTTAACCCAGCCAACTAGAGGGCACTTCCACGAGTCTGAGCCCCTTGGGTTGATGGGCAAAACAGCAGATTTGAAAACCTTACCAGCATACTGTTTGTACTCCTCCACGTACTTGAGAAAGCCCGCAGCAAGCATCACGGGATCTAGGTTCTCATTAGCAAAGAGCATTAAGTTTTGTCATCTCCAAGCAGCCCACATCAACGTGGCTACTTAACACACCGTCTCGTCATTATATTTACTACACAGCCATTCCCAAAATGCAGCAAAAGAGTTATTTGGGGCACCATCGAAGTCACTCACATAGCCACTAATGCCCCAAATTCGAGTGACAGCCTTGCAACTAAATAGAGAATGCAAAATAGACTCACAATTAACATCACATAGCTGACAAGAGGCATCTTGAATTATATGGCGCTGCATTAATCTCTCGCTTACTACCAGATTTCCCTTGATAGCACTCCATATAAAGTGTTGTAATTTGGGTGGGCCATTAAGTCTCCATATTGAGCGCCAAATAACATCATTATCAGCTTGGTGTTGTTGGTCAGAACCCCCCAATTTTGCAAGCCAATAACCAGATCTCACAGTGTACACCCCTTTCTTTAAAAAGCGCCAAAACCAAGCATCCATTATAGGCCTATTAGAGAGAGGAATGGACAAAATACAATCACGTACCTATGATGGAAAAAGATCCCCAACTTTCTCAGCATTCCATGCCATCACACCATCACATAACAAGTCCCTCACAACCATATTTTCATCACAACCGACTGGCATTGTAGGAACAAAGACACGACCATCCAAACAAATCCACGGATCCTTCCACACCTTGATATCTCTTCTATCATCCACTCTTCTCAATAGGCCATCCTTCAACAACCCTTTTGCGCCCCACAAGCTTCTCCACGCAAAGCTTGGGTCATGCCCCCTAGAAGCATCCAAAACTTTCGAGCGATTAAAATACCTAGCCTTGAGAATTGTATGCAACAAAGTACCCTCATTGGTATGCAATCGCCAAATTTGTTTTGCAAGAAGAGCTTGATTAAAACATTTGAGATCACGAAAACCTAACCCCCTATTGCTTTAGGAAGACACAATTTATCCCAACTTTGCCAGTGAAGCTTTTTTGCATTTTCCCTAGATCCCCACCAAAATAGGCACAAAAGAGTGTGAATTTCATCAATGAGACCATCGGGAATTCTGAAAATGCTCATTATGTACGATGGAATAGCTTGGGCCACGGCCTTAATTAGGACCTCTTTCCCCGGTCTTGACAATAATCTCTCCTTCCAATCATTCAACTTTTTTCCAAATCCTCTCCTTCAAGCAAGAAAAGATGGCTTTTTTTGACCTCCCGGTCATCGTTGGCAACCCCAAATATTTCTCATGCCTCTCTACTTCTCGTACACCAAGAGTATTGATAATGGCATCTCTTCGTTCAACAGCGACACATGTACTAAAAGCAACCTTTGTCTTACTCAAATTGACTTTCTGACCAGATGCTCTTTCATACCGACTGACAATTTCAGCAATTTTCGAACATTCCTGTAGAGTAGCTTTAGCAAATAGAATGCTGTCATCGGCAAAAAATAAATGAGACACTCTTGGAGCAGAACGACAAATCTTAGCCCCATTTAATTTCTTCTCATTAGCAGCCATAGATATTAAAGCAGAGAAATCATCGACACATAACAAGAATAAATACGGGCTAATTGAGTCACCCTGACGTAAGCCACGGGAAGGAACAACATAGCCATAAATCTCCCCATTCACCTTAAAAGAGAAAGAGACACTCGAGATACAACTCATTACCCTCCGAATCCAGCTATCACAAAAACCCATTCTGATCATCACCTTTTCCAGGAAGCTCCATTCCACCCTGTCATAGGCCTTACTCATATCTAGCTTGAGTGCTACCGTACCATGTCGCCCTTCCCCTCCTCTTTTCATATAATGAAAAATCTCAAAAGCAATCAAGGCATTATCAGTTATCAGACGACCCAGAATAAAAACACTCTGATTTATAGAAATAATATCGTTAAGAAATGGTTTCAGTTTATTAGCCATCGTCTTTGATATTATTTTATAAATCACATTACAACAACTTATATTTCGGCTCCTTACACTTCATAATAAGCACAATACATGTATTATTGATGTCAGAAATATCAATCAAACCCTTCCACCAATTTTTCACCAGTATCACAATATAAGAACCCAAAATATGCCATAATTTTTGAAAAAATAGGGCATGCATACTGTCAGCTCCCGGAGCTTTATTAGGATGCATCTGGAAGAGATCTTGTTTGATTTCTTTGGCACTAGGTTCAGCATCAAGAACAGAATTCATTGAGTCGGTAACAACCTCACTTAGACCCGCCAAGGTTGCCTCAAAGTTCTTGGGCAAATCGGACGTGAAGAGGGTCGAGAAATAAGTTGCCACAACGTTACAAATCTGTTTTTCATCTGTTCTCCACTCACCCGACGAATCAAACAAACCACCAATGCGATTCTTCTTCTTCCTTTGGCTAGCCTTCCTATGAAAGTACGCCGTATTTTTATCACCATCCCTCATCTCATTTGCCCGGGCTCTAGCGTACCAGTAGGATTCCTCTAACCTTCGAAGCTCACCCAAGTCATCATCCAATCTCTCACATGTAGCCATCATTCGAGCATCAACATGCCCACCCTGTGCTTCCCTTAAATCCTGTTCAAGCTTTCTGATTTTTTCTTTGTGTCTCCAAATGAAGTGGCATCCCACTTTTTTAATTCCCGAGCACACAAATCGATGCGTTTATGAGTCGGAAAACCCGCCCCCTCACTCCAAGCCTTCGCAACTACACTTACACATTTATCCTTCGTAAGCCACATGGCTTCAAATCTGAAAAGCTTGCCCTTCTTCCCTCTATCAAAATAGTTCAAAGTATCAAGGAAAATGGCGAATGATCGGACTCCTTTCTTACCAAGTGCTGCACTGAGAAATTCGGATGTAGTTCACACCATGCATCATCCCCCATAAACCTATCAAGTCTCTCACGGATCACATTATCAACGGAATTACCCCACTGCCAAGTGAATTTATAGCCCTTGTACCCCAAATCCCGCAACCCACTGATGGGCGTTGGAACGGTCGTACATTCCACACTCAATCAAACACATTTATTAACAAACACCTTACAAACCAAGCATAATGACAAGTAAGAGTTCAGTCCACAAGGAACGGGATATGATTGCCAAAGATCTTTACACTTAAGCTAACTCGAAGTCAATTGGTGAATTGGGGTTCGTCAAGAAGACAAACAAACTATGGTTCTAAATCAATGAATTAAAGATACTAGGGAATGAGATCCACTCAACCAAGGCAAATAGGCAAACGGGGAGTAAAATAGACAAGATATAGCAAGGACTATATGTAAAATCAACCTCATGCAATTAGAAAACAACTCACACTACTAAACTTAGATTCCTCATTAGTTTAGCAATAGATGATACATAATCAAATTACAATAAGTAATGACGTACTCAATTTACACTTCCATGTCAAATTAGGCATATCATACTATCAAGCTCCTTAGTCAAGGGTAGCTAAACCTATCATGAGGAACTAACAAGCAATCTCATATAATCAATTTAATTGCAATTCAAACATCAATGCTTCTCCCACATTTGCATAGTTAACCCAAAAGGTCGAGCTTCACCCAACCCCTAGCAAGAAGACTACTCACAACTCATGTTTATCAACATGCAATCAAGAATTAGGGTTCTAAATACTTCAATAATTGGGGAAAAGTGGTTAACAATTGAAATAACTATCATCCAATAACAAATTACCAAGAACTAGGAAGATTTAAATAACATGCAAATACCAAATAAAATCTGAAATTAAAAGGAAGAAGGTTGGAGAAATTACTAATTGAAGCTTCAAATGTTGAATACAAATTGCCAAACTTTGAGAATAATTCTTGAATTTCACTAATACAATGATTTGATTTGATGAAAACTAAGCTAAATTAATCCTAAGGAATGTTTCAAACTAAGAGAGGTTTCTGAAAACTAGGCTACTGTCCCCCTTTTCTAAATGAGCTAAAGGGGAAGTATTTATACTCCCCGAAACACATAGGGAAATCCGTCAAAAGAAAACGGATTCCCAGCGAGGAGCGCCCGCTCCACAATGAGGAGCGCCCGCTCCTAAGCTGGGAGCGCCCGCTCCTTTCGGCTGCACGCCCTCTCCAGAATGCTTCAATGAAGGATCAGATTTGAAAGTGTCAGGGAGGAGCGCCCGCTCCTCACATGATGCACGCCCGCTCCCCTGTTCCAGCAGCATGGGCAGATTCAATCTTCAAAGGGAGGAGCGCCCGCTCCATGAGAGGTGCACGCCCGCTCCTAACAGCACCTGAACTTGGGCAGAATGTAGCTAGAGTCGAGGAGCGCCCGCTCCATGAGAGGGGCACGCCCGCTCCCCTGGAGCGCCCTCTCCAATCTTCAATCCTCTTGTCTTAAACACGATTCATGCACCGAAAGCCTGCCTAATTGAGCTCATAGACCTGCAAAACATGGACAAACACAAACCAAGAGGGGGGGAAAGCCGAGAAAAAACATTTTCATTCAAAATTGGGTTAGAAAGAGGGGAAATGATCGCAAAATCGGGTTTAAATTTACACAATAAGTGGTCAAATAAACCACTTATCAAATCCCCCCAAGCTAGCCAAATGCTTGTCCTCAAGCAATTCACATTGCCCAAAAACAAACCCAAAGATCAATTTGCTCAAAGAAAAGCACATGCATAGATATGAGAATCCTTAAGCAATAAAACTCGAGCATGAGGTATATGCCTAAGATCAACCACGGTCATGACTAGCCGAGGCCTAGCTAACATTCCCGAATGTACTCAACTTTGGTCCATTCAACCAATCTTACCGCGTCCCCAACACAAAGTTCAAATTCCCCCTAATGGTAATGTCTCATGACTCCTCGAAGGAGCCGAAAGAAAAATAGACCCAAGAAGGTTTAGAGCACTCGACATCTCAATGATAAATACCCTCTCCATATGCTTGTGAACCAACTCCCTCCACCGTCTATGGCTTCAACTATTCTACTAACATTACAAGACTCAAGGAATACGACACAAAGTTAAGGCATAGAGAAAACTAGAAGTGCTTTGCAATTAA